TGCAGAGGATCTGAATTCAGGACTCGTGACAGGCATCTCAGGAAATCAAATGCCTCTGGCCTCTGAGGGCCTACACCCCATGTTCCTACCCATACAGAGACACATAAACACACATAATTCTAATAGAACAGTGGGTGAGAATGGACTGAGCAGGGAGTCAGTTATGAGACTGGAGGGACACAGCAGCTGACTATCATGGAGCCCGCCAAGCAGCAGGTCAGACAGAGACAGCTTTATTCCTGGATTTGTTAGTGTCGGGCTTCTGTCCCATGTAACCAATCCACACAAATGCACAAGCCTTCATTAAAGAGCACAAGTCTACTTGAAAATCTGGATAAAATATGATTTATAAAGAACACAGAATTTGTCCATCTTGACTAGAGAAGAATCTTAAAAGTAAAGTAACCACAGAAGAAATGAGACAGAAAAAGTAAGAAGCAACAAAGTCAGGGCTTTTCACTCCCTCTGGGTAGGCTAAATTGTTGTGTTTTAAAATCAAAGTTAGATAATTCTATCAAACATATGAAACAGTTTTCATCTGATTTATAAACTGTGCTACCCTGAGAATAGCATTATTTAATTTGGGAAATATTTGAAATAAACTATACTAACTGAAGATCTTGATTTTTCTTTTAATACAAGTTTCAAAAAATGCCTTAATAAAATTCTATATTCACCTCCACCTATTGAAAAAGCATTAATAAAATGGCTCCTGATGACATTCTGTTATACTCACTGATTAGCCATCATCAGAGAAGCGTCCTCCTGCAGCAGACAGGAACAGATGCAGAGACCCACAGCCAGACATTCTGTGGAGAGACCTTGGAACACACAGCTCTAAATGGGATCTTTGCACCAAATGTGTCCCCTCAGAGCTCAGAGAACCTTGCAGAGGAGATGGAAAGAGTGCAAGAGACAGAGGGGACAGAGGACACCTGGAGAACAAGGATGTCTGCACCAACAGTGAAGCAGCAGCACAGGACCAACGCGGGTGTGTGCACCAGGGCCTCTATACACACTACAGCTTTCAGCTTAGTACTCTTCATGGGACTCCCGAGTGTGTGAACCAGGGGGCTCTGATTCCTGTGCCTGTCCTTGAGGCTCTTTTCCTTCTGTTGGATTGCCTTATTCATCTCAATGTGATGGTTTTTGCTTTATCTGGTTATATGTTATTTTGTCACCATTGGTTGTTATCTCTTAGAAGCCTGTTCTTTTCTAATGAGACATAAAGGGAGTGGACCTAGAGGAGAAAGGAGGGGAGGGGCCGGGAGGAGTAGAGGGAGGGAAAACTGTAAGCAGGACATACTGTATGAGACAGGAATCAGCTTTTAGTAAAGGGAAAAATGAAACAGCGCTGTGTTAACATATTAGAACGTAGTGAAGCACGCTATCTAGCAGACACTCAGGGATGCGTCATCCTGTAACAACAGACCGCTGAAGGCATCTGCGCCTAAGAGGGCAACCAGACAAGCGCTTCTGCAAGGCTCAGCTAGTAGTCTATGCAGACCCGGCAATCCTAACACAAACCAATCAGAGGGAACGGAGACACTGAGTAAGAAAGCCTTAGCAACTGCAAGACACTGTCTTGGAATTTTTAGGATAACATCTTTTTTTAAAAAAAAATATTTATTTTTATTATGTATACAATGTTCCATCTGCATGTACACCTGAACACCAGAAGAGATACCAGACTTCATTATAGATGGTTGTGAGCCACCATGTGGTTGCTGGGATTTGAACTCAAGATCTCTAGAAGAGCAAGCAGTGCTCTTAACCTCTGAGCCATCTCTCCAGCATTCAGGATAACACCTTAACACTTTAAAAAGAATTCTGTATTGTCATGACAAACCAGCACATAAAAATAAATGTTTTTTTCAGTCATAGCAGTAATGACAAAAATCCCCCAAAATATCAAATATGTACTTGCACACACACACAGTGAAACTAAGACACTAGCTAGCCTGCCCACAAACATCATGTAATAACACTCACTGTTCTTAAAGAGAAATACTCAATTTTGTACTTTTTTCTAAACCAGTTCTAGAACTTAATGCCACCCAAATCCAGACTTCAAGATATGCTCAACTGAAGGCAAGAAATATTTGAAAATTATTTAAGAGGATCTTATTCCACAAAACTACAATCAAGAGTACATTATTATTAAAACATGGAATAGCTCAAAAATTTAGCCTACAATGAAATAGCATTTCTGCTCAATGACAGAATAACTGGACCTTCAATTCATAATTTTCAAACAAATGAGCAGCTGAAAGCATTTCCATACCTCGCCTTCATCACACTGATCTATAATTATAGCTGAAGACTTAGCCATTAATCGCTCACACAGATACAAGCATGTAAACATGGGAAAAACAGCTTAAAGAATGGAGGATTTATTTTGCGACTTAGAATAAGACAAAAAACACTATCAACCTGACCATAAATAAAAAATGTAAAATGCCTATAAAAGAATCCCAGCAAACTAGAAACATACAACCAACTAGAAGCTGCGATAACAAAGATCAATGCTTAAGTTACATCAAACCTCAACACGAGTGGACATGGTGACAACATACCTTTAATCCCAACGCTTCCGAGGCAGGGGCAGGTCTGTGAGTTCTAGGCCAACCTGGTTTATATAGTGAGTTCCAGGCCAGCCAATGAGACCCTGTTTTAAAAAAAATTAGCTGGGTATGGTGGTGCACACCTTTAATCCCAGCACTCAAGGAGACAAAGGCAGGTGGATCTCTGTTCAAGGCCATCCTGGTCTACAAAGCAAATGCAGAACAGCCAAAGCTACACAGAGAAACTGTCTTCAGAGGGGCGCGGGGTGGGGGGAATTAAAACAAAACCCTTCAACAAATTTACAATAGATGACTCAATAGAACACACAGGTATGAATTCTAATATGAGACATGTATCCTTACCATCCTGAGGAATTAATGAATTAAAACACAGAAACAACAGTTGTTTTTGTTGATTTTATTTTTTATGTATGTAATATTTGCCTACTTGTGTGCCCACATGCCAAAAGAGGGCACCAGATCATGTAGATGGTTATGAGTTACCATGAGCTGGGAACTGAATTCAGGAACTTTAGAAGAACAGCTAGTGCTCTTAAGCTCTGAGCCATCTCTCCAGCACCTTTTATTCTTTTAATACAAGTGATAAAAGACATGATGCCAAATATCCTAACGTTATGAGATGCCAGGGACTCAGTGTCTGCTGAGTGGAACTAGGAAACAAAACAGAAACCCCCAAAACTGATACAACCGGTTTGGAAGTACAGTGGAAGCACCTCTTCAAATTAAAAGTGTTTCTCCTCTGGCCCATCAGTTCAAATCCTTGGCACAAGCTACACAGAAATCCTTAAATGCAGAGACCTGTGCAACATGCTTTTTTGAGCAGGCAGCGGTTTGTACAGTGTGTGTGGGGCGGGGGGTATCAGAGGAAAATTCCCTAATTTTATGACAGGCAAAGTAGTTTATAAGACATATGATATACATTACAAGTTAGAGTCTACCTCTCTTTATGTTAAAAAAGATGAATGCTACATTTTATTTTCTTTGGCTATGTACTGGAATTGAAAACTGTTGTACAAATGTCTGCATTTTTGTAAGCAAAATGTAGTCATATTAAAAAGTAAAGAAGTATGCAGAGACTGATAACATTTTAAGAAAAATATGTTCACAAAATAACACTTTGCATTTTTTTCCTTCACTTCCTTGGTAGCAGGTATCTAAGGTTTTGGAAGGTTATTGACAAAGCAATGTAATATTGTCTAAAGTCATCTCTTATAAAAATGGCAGCATGACCAACTTTGCCCTTTCACTTGAAAAGGTAAAAAAACTCAGTTCATGATTTATAGAAAAAAACACTTAGGCTGAAAGCTCCTATCATTTTGTGTTAATGTTACAGTATTGCTAAGAAGGTGATTATATGCACACAGGTTTAAGCTACTATCTTCGGAACATCCAGATGCATTCTAGGAGTCATTTTTCAAAGCATGGGGCTTTAAAAAGTGCTTACTTTCCATTCTTTATTTTTGTTGAGACAGGATCTTATGTTTTCCAGGATAGCATCCAGCTATGATTTTTAGTCTTTGTAACCTTTAACCCTGGAGTGTTGGGACTGCAGGGGTTATAACACCAAGGTTGGTTTACATGGCTTTGTGCTGTATCTCCAGCAACCCAAAATGCTTAATTTTAATTCCTGTGTTACTAAAGCATTGGGCCATAACAACAACAACAAAAATGATGCCAAGTGTAGTCAGCAGTTTCTTTCCAAATAAACAAATCTTCAGACAAGGAGGAAAATCAGAGGGACAGCCCTCAGCGAGCCTGGAATCTCCCAAGCAGGTCTGGTTGCACTTCCTCCTGCTGCTCCTGCCTGGGGCAAGTGCCTTTCACATTTCCATCCACTGAAAACTAGTCTAGGAAGGAGGCAAGGGAGAAAGCTCTAGGCTGTGTGCTATAAGCTAGCCATTTCACAGATCCCACCCAACCCTTGCCTCTCCTGTGACATGGGAGGGCTGTGCCAAAAGCTCCAGACATAAAACACAGCTCCAAGGATCAACAACCTATGTTTCCTCAAAAGCCACCCAGAAAAGAAACGCTCATTTTTCTAATATGATATTAGCATTTTTTTTCAAACTACATTACAGATCTGCTTTACCTGACATTGTCAATTGAATTCAGTAAAATTTCACACTAAATAGGCATGGTCTCTTATATGTGACATATGAAAAAATACAAAATGGCAATAATTAAAAAAGCCTCATGTATATGTCTAGTATGATGAAACTCATACTAGAATTTATTGGTGGTCTTATTTCCTAGGTGTTCAGAGGAAAAAGAAGGTAGAAGATATAGTTTTACATGCAGAAAGTTTTTTGCACTTTTGCTAGTTACAGAACACTAGCTGGTCAATAGTGCCAGCAGCCCATTCCACACTGAGCTGGGAATGAAGACAAGTTAAACAGAGAGCACTTCACTCACAGCTTTGATTTTTCATCACTTAAGTTTATTTTTTTACAACAAAGCACTTTTGATATAATTTAAAACACACATGCTTTGATTGAACAGCGACTGTAAATGAGTCCACTCTTCTTCTACCTGTGATGACAACCTTTCCAGTTCTTCTAAAAGCACTGGCTCTGAAGGAAGCATTTTGAGGTGTAACTGAAAAGAAAAGTATGATGGTTAAGGTTAAGTTGGACATTTTATTTAAAAATACCAATATTTTTTTCTGTCAAGGAACCTTAGAGGATAGTATCTAAATATTTTTCTTAAATGGTGGGTTACTGTTTTCTGATTTCTTGCTGTTGCCAACTATTTTTTACATCAAGTTTTCTTTTTTAAGCCATGAGCTCTCTTAACAGAACTGATGTAACTCTACTCTTCCACAACACAGAACCCCCAGGTAACACTGTTTCTGTGCTTCCACGTTTCCTTTCTCTATAACCCACTGATGATGACAGTCATTTGCTCTATTTCCTAAAGGTGTATGTAAATTTGTTTGTAGGGACTAACACCTGGTAAACACAGGAAAACCTACACAGATAATCTGGCATCTCTTTAATTAAGCTCTCTGGTCCTACCTACAGCTTTTAAACAGATTTAAAATGCTTGCATCAAGTAAAGACTCCCAGGCCTGGTGGAGAAGCACACACTCCTGAAACTAGCACTACCTATTCCTTCATCATGTTATACCACTAGCGTGGACCTGCAAAGAACAGCTTCATTTTATTAATCAAAAAAGCAAGTTGTGCCAAATTACTTGAAACTGATGGAGGTGAGTAGTTTGATTTCAGCAGAAGACAAAAATGCACAAACAAAAGAACCCGACTTTCCTTTATGATCACAGAAAATGTTAATAAATACTTAAAAGAAAGTCAAGGTCCAGCACAGGCAACAGATGACAAATATGGGTAAGTCAAATTGTGCCATCGAGTAATGACAACAATAGAGACTACAAAGCGCACGGCGCAGCTAGTTCAGGGTGGCGGCAGACAGCAGGCCCGTGCAGCTGCTGTTCAGTCACAGCTTGTCATCTTTCAAGTATTCATCAGCCATATGACGAGCGGCTCCCTACTTGACACCGTGGGTGCAGAACAAGCCCATCTTTGCAGAATACTGCTGACACTGCTACAAGGGAAGGGAGGTACCGTATCTCACTCACCTTCAAAAACAATGCAAGGTATGCCTGGGCCAACTCAAAATCACGCTTTCTGTCCAACATCATCCCGACCATTCTCAAAAAACTCTGCATGACTTCTATAGATCCACCATCATCGGGAGACAAGTTCCGAAGCTCTGTTTCAATCCCTGATGGGCCTAATTCTTTCAGAAGGTTAAGGGCAGTTTCATCTGCAGATTGTAAAAAGAATCTAGTTATTTCTTATAATTCCTTAATCTAAGAAGCTATGATCTTCCTTCATACCCAAGCAATATATATGTAAATGGCATTAACTTTCTGTGAATAATTTTTCACATTATAGAACAATGAACCCCACGATAAATGAAACAGTAAAAATGTAATACCAGTAAAAGTACTAAAAGTCTTTAAAGTTTTGTATTGTAAGGAATTTAAACTTTTTTTTTTTTTTGCTTTTAATGAAATCCTAATGACTCACAGTAGACACTTTATTAGTCATAATAGAAGAAAAAACTAAAACAATAGGTCATCAAGAAAGAGTGCACAAGGTATTAATAGTGATCACCACCAGAATGAAGTGGGGAAAGTACCTCTTCTTTCTCCACTTTCATTGTTATAAAAAGTAAAACTATCACTTGGTTGTTAAGAAGCAGCAATAATGCAGAAACAGGTACAGGGAAGACTCCAGGCCTCTTCTATGAATCCCAAGGCTGCCTGGGAGTTTGCAGAACTGTTTACTCTGCAGCCCACGAGAGCACACTAAACACATCAACACAACATTTTTATCAATCCCTTGCTATTTCAGTGGCAATGGCTATGATGTTAGTTTTTGAACCATCACAAGAGTCTGATCACTTTCATTTTCTGTTCTTTAGTAAACAATTCTGTTTATTCTTCATTCCTTGATAAACAAGTTATTAGTACCATTCTCTGACTTCTGCCCAGTGATACTGCAAGCATTTCGACCATAAAACAAGATGAGTCAAATTTCTTGAGTTTTTAACAATTACATATGTACAGTATTAGAAATGCAGAAATCTAAAAAGTTGAAATGAAACTAAATTACAATTTAATTTTCCGTTTCTTTTAAAACTATACTTCTACAAGATGATTTGGAAATATGTGAAATTACCTAAAACCCCTGTCTTTGCTGTATTAAGAATCATGTATCTAACCAGATTTTCAAATGAAAACGAAGAAGCTTGAGGAGCCCACTAGACAAAACTCTGACAGTAAAACAACTGAAAACCACATGCTACATGTTGTCCGTAAATTCTCCATCTCTAAACACAATCCCAGCAGGACTGTGCAGGGTGTAGTCTCAGCAGATTTACTATTAACATATCAGTCAGCATAGCTTCAAAGCTACACTGGTGTACCTTTAGTTTTTACTCTATTCTTTTTAACTAGTATGAACTCTGCTCAATTTTCCTTTCAGATAAACTAAACAAAAAGTGAAGATACTTGTTCAAATATTTTACAGTTTAACTTACATTGGTTATTTAGCAATCCTTCTTCAAGTGTCAGGTAGAAATTTGATTTTTGAGCCAGAATCCCAAGGTTTACCACCTTAGACTTAAAATAAAAACAAATACATATGACTTAAAAGAACATAAAAACCACCCAAAACCTAGCTTATCTTAAAATGAGCACTAATGTTCTCTGACACTGGGAGCCACATGAATGCCAGAAGCAGATCCCCATGAACTTGGACTGATGTGGTTCTCACCTGCTGGGGGTCACCACTCTGCTCGGGCACAGCAAACCTCGGCACGAGCCCCGGAACCGTTGGGATGAAAAACGGAGCTGACTGGGGTACTTTGGGTGGTTCTTTTGGTTTATTTTTTTTCTGATTAAGAAAAACGAGAAGAAAGAAACACTATTAAGTACTTATCTTAGAAACCGTTTCTAATGTCTTATTACACATGAAATTTAAAACCACCAAAATGAACTATAGGAATAAAACCTTTCCATACTACAATGCTAAAATAAAATCCAATGAGCAATGCTATAGCGTCTTCACCCAGGCTTCCCAACATAGAAAAAAGAAATAACAGCGTTAAGACAAGGCTCATCTTCACAAAGTGAATTGTTACACTCAGTCTCTCTTCAGCAAAACAAAGTATAAACAACTTAATAAAATGGCTTATTTCCAGAAGAAAGTTCAGAACCTCAAGTGCAGACTTCTCCATTAGAAATAATTTGTTAATATTTTGGAGAAGTATGACTCAAAATTCTTTTATTTTGTGGAAATTTTAACTTTTCTTTAGTACTTTTAAAAAGAAAACACTATTGCCAATTTATAAAATATTTCATCTCAATAAAAATCTGCTGGAATTTCAGCTAACAGAATTTTTTTTCTTTGCAAAATTTTATTTTTATTTTTTAAATTATGTGCATGTATGTATGTGTCTGTGGTTTTGTGAACTTTAGAACAGTGACCACAGAAGCCACAAGAAGATGTCAGATCCTCAGAGCTGGAGTTACTGATGGCTTTGAGTCACCCAGTGTGGGTGATGAGGATGACTCTGGTCCTTTGCAGTACCTCTTAGCCATGGAGACATCTCTCCATCGGGAAAAATAATCTTAAAATTGTACTGCCCTCAAAAAAAAATGGGCTTACTTTGTTTTCAACACTACAGTATTGATACACTGTCTCAGCCCTACTACATGGGCTCACTAGCCAACCTGATACAACAGCTCTGAGAGTCTACTTAGCAATAGAAAGAATATGGAACAATAAGTTAAATTGTGGCTTAATAATAACAAAAGTAATAATAAAACTAGTAAATTTTTCTGTATAGCAGTAAGACACACACAGTTAAACATCAACTCTTCTTTCTTATGTTTTGAAAGCAAGATATGAAACTTATTAGACTGGATACTGAAACAGCCCAGTCTGACACTCTACAGTTACAGACTGATTCCACTCTATCCAAACCCACAGTGCTTTTCGAGTGGACATACAGATGGGACCTCTGTGAAATACCACTCAATTAAGCAGTAGTGTCTTGACTGTCATTTTCCTCAAAGCAAGAAATGCTCATGGAATACAGGCTGGGGAACAGAATCAAGAGTGCTATGACATTACCTTGATAACATCAAGATTCAGAAGGTTTTTCCAGCGTGACTCAGGGAGAAGTGAGAGAGTCACCAGTTGCTCACTCAACTGTTCTGGCGACTCATACTCTATCATTTCATCACTTGGCTCAATCTGTTCTTCTAATACGTCCATGCCTGAAAACAGATACTCAGGTAAGACAAATGAACACAAAAGGAAACCATCATATAAAAGAATCTACTTCTTTCCACATTCGTGTCTTACATTAAATCAATTAGCTTTGTGAATGAACTCTTTTCACCTGTTTCTTTTGCTTATTCCCCCTTTCCTTATAATTCCCATCAATATTATTTTGTATCTTAAGGATGTATCATTAGTTATGGCTTTCTATAAACTGAAGTTAGTCAACATATATTAAACCAGTTAAAACACTTTGATTGGATGAATTAAACTGATTTTTTTTTTTTCGCAGCAATAACCTAACAGATTTATATTACACCTCAACAATTATTCTGTTGTTCTGTGATTACCTTCGGTCTGACAAGTGCCAGGAAGTGTCACCACTGAAGGGACATAATCTGGAGGAAGTGGCCGCAAGGAGACAACTGAATAGAGGGAAACATTCGACCTGAGCAAGCAGAAAGCAGAATTTTATGATAACAGCACCACTACAGAAGAAGCATTATCTTCAGAGAAACTTCAATACTTGGTAATGATCTCTATTTTAAATCTGGCCAGAGACTATAATCATTAACTAGTTAAGACCTCAAAGTGAGATTACAAGTTTGAAAATGCAATCATTAAAAAACAAAGCTGTATAAAAACCTTAATGGTGGCTGGAGAAACAGCACAGCATTTCAGAGCACTGGCTGCTTTTCAAGAGCAGTGGGATCAATTCCCAGCACCAACATGGTTGTTTCACAATTCCGTAACTCTAGTTTCAGCAGATCCAATGCCCTCTTCTGGTCTCAGCCGCACTGCATGCATGTGGTGTATAGACATCCATGCAGGCTAAACACACATATATATAAAATAAAATAACTGAAGATTTTTTTTTTTTGACAGGGTCTCTGTATGCAGCCTTGTCTGGCGTGGAGCACATTATGAGCAGGCTGGTCTTTAACTCACAGAGATCCACCTGCCTCTATGTCTTGAGTGCTGGAATTAATGGCTTGTACAAACATTCCAAGCCCAGAGTCTCTGAGGTTTTGTTGTTTGTTTGCTTGTAGAGAGGCTACACAGGTTTCTCTGTGGAGCCTTGGCTGTCCTGGACTAGCTTTGTAGACCAGGCTGACCTTAAACTCACAAAAATACGCCTGCCTCTGCCTCCCTGAGTGCTGGGATTAAAGGTGTGTGCCACATCCGGCTCTGAGTCTCTGCTTTTAACATAGTATAAAAAGTTGAAGAGACGCTAGTAGTAGGTAATATTTTTATGAGATACAATAACTTCCACATAGTGTTTGACAAATACCAATTTTTACTCAAAAGAAAAAAAAGCCTAACAAAAAGAAAGACTGAGAAAGTAAGTTAAAGTAAATACCCTAATTATATTCTTGGGGGCATTAAGTAGTCATTAATTGGCCTTTTCTGAAATGGTTAAGTAGCCATGTTTCTGCTCTGCATGTGCAAAGCACCATGGGTGAGTATTCAGGATAGAAATACCTGTGCCAAAGTAAGGTCAGATTTTCCCTACATTCATAATATGAATTTCAATTACAGACAAAAGTTGGGTACTCAGGCCTCAAATCACATTAACAGCTGTACTCTACGGAGAAGCAACACACTCCCACACAGGCCTCACAACTGCTACTAATCTATTAAGTGCTAAAGCTTCACAGGCTCCAAAAGACAACACATTTTGCTTTTTAAGAAATCAAATTTACCTTTTTCTACTTGATAATTAGAACTAGAAAAGACTGGTATGGTAGGACACCTGTGCAGTGCCAACACTTGTCAAACCATGACACGAGGAGAATAAGCTTAGGAGCAGCAGGCAGTAAACATGCAAGGTCAGGCCGCTAAAAGAACTGAATGTATAAACTCAGGAAAGAGATAGGTTTTTTTTCTAGGTGCAGGTTATTCACCATTAACTACAGTGTCTTCCGGGTTCAACCCAGCAGTTTGAAGAGGCAAACATTGTTTACGTGGTTATGGAAAGACATGCAACTAGGATGCATCTTCCCAAGCTCTGTGCTCACAAAAGTTCAGAAGTGATCAGTAAAAGCATACAGTTCTAGACACACAACATATATATATATAAATATAGTAGATTAAATATAACAACACAAAACATGTAATTTAGAATATGCATTTGAACAAAGCTGTCTAACTTACAAAGCATCAGTCGTAGATGCATGGTCGGTTAATTAGGCTGTGTGATAGATCCACTGTATGAAAACAAGCTAAACGGCAATTTTAACAACCACCAATCTTGACCACTGACATCTTCCTCCTCCCCCAAATAAAAGAGGTGTATGAAAGAGCTCACCATAGGTAAATTCCAAGGTGATCCACATGGGAAGTTGCTAGAAAGTCTCCAGTTGGGGACATAGTAACATTGAGAGGAGCTGAGTCCAACAAAAAGCAGTCAATAAGGCTACAAAAAAAGAAAGAAAGAAAAAGAAATAAAGGTACTTTTTACTAAAAGAAACAAGCAATAAAAGTTTTCTTTTTTATAAATTACAACCAGAAAGTTACCATAACCACTGCTTAATCAACTAAGCTTCTGTGTAAAAACAATTAATGAAAAAGAACCAGAACATTAAGCAAACTAATTAGCTAGACTCAAAGTAAGAAGAGTCTAGATGAAACACTGTTTTCTTGACCTGAGCTGGCATACTTATTGGGAGCAATTTTAAAGCCATCACACTTAGAGGAGGGAGAGGCCGTTACTCAGAGCACACCAACATAACCTTGCACAGCGTGATAGTAAGCCACTAAATGTTTTTGAGAAGATAATAGTAGATTCTTTTATTTAATAAAGAAATTTTCCATCAGGATGCAGAATATATTTGAACAGAAGGAACAATGGGATTGTGGTAGGAAATCATTTAGCAGTAACAGGATGGTTAGTGGCTACAGGGAGTAAAAGTAGGCTAGGGAGCAAGAGAATGACTATAGCACTAGCTCCTCAGGCTGAGGAGAATGACTTTAGCAAAACTGCTGAGGTTTTTTGTTGTTTTTTTGCTCTGTATCGCTGATTTTTATTTTACTTTATGTGTATGAAAGTTGTGCAAGCATGTATGTATGCCACAAGTGTACCTGCTAGATCCTTGGAACTAGGATTATGGACGGATTTGAGCTACTACTATGTGTGCTAGGATTCCAACCCTGGTCTTCTACAAGAGCACCAAGTGCTACTAGCTGCTGAGCGACTTCTACAGCCTCCAAGATTAGTTAGTTTTAAATTCAGCTGTTAAAAAAAAGTCACTATGTTAAAGACAATGCATTTTCATGGGAACATATAAGAAACATTTAAGTTCAGTCTCTAAGCTCATACAAGTGATTTAATAAAGAGATAATAGCAGTTAACGCATCCCTGCTCCTGTGTTTTGCAATTACAAGGGTCCTGATCTGAGCTCTTGAGTGAAATGACTAATGCCGTTTTTACAACCTGAGACAACAATTATCTTTACCATATTGGATCAGAAAACCAAGTCTCAGTAATATTTAAAAGCTTGTTTAAGATAGAAAGCAACTGACCAGGATTGGTGCCCAGGAAGACACTTTTAACTGTAACTGTAATTAAAGATGTAGCAAGCAGTGTGTAGGACACACCATAAGCAGTCCACTGTCATGACAGCTCTTCGGGGAAGACATTACATGACATGGTTGCTTAAAGACTCATTAACAATGTAAACCTTAAGTGACAAACCTACATAGAGAACAAACTGACTACAGTTAGGAGTCTGAAAAGTAACAAATGCCAAGGTGTGTTCAGGATAATTGCTGCTGGCCAGTTCTCAGCTATAGGAAAAGAGGAAGAAGCAGTTTGGTTTCTGCTTAGGTTTGATCAGGGACTCAGAAGAAACCACTTGTGTTAAGGGATTGAAGAAAAGGAAGCAGTCTTCAGCCAAGTAAAAGCCAGTGATAATTAACTGTCAGATTGTTCATCTTAATTCACTTAATCTGAACAACCCAGAGCAGACAACACACTATTCCAGCATTCCAAAGTAGCTTCCTCTTTTTGTTACTTCTCCTTTATCTTTATGCAAAGCAGAGGCTTAAACATGTAGGGGTGAAACTTCCTACCATGTTTTAATCCAGCTGTTCAGAGAATTAACTGCTCGAGCAAACTTGCTCTACTTCAGAATTCAATTTTGTCCATTTCATTGTGCAACTTCATTCCGACAGCTGTGGTGTGTGGGTAGACTGGCCTTCCACTATGTAAAAGCACCAAATTGAGAAAGGCAGTTTCCACATAAACAGCATATTTTCCACTGTTACCTTAAGCCCAGAGCAAAGCCTCCTGGTAGTCCTATAAAATCAGGAGTAACAGGTATGCTGTCATACCTGATGGACATTAGGAGCATTCCCATTCAGAGGCATCTGATTTTTTTTAACATCAGAGCCTTTGCATATACTAAGTAAGATTAAGTTATTTTCCTGTAATTCCAGAAAGCTCAGCTAATGTTAGTATGTTTATTGCAGAGGTAATGGGATCATGCTGCACAGGAATCTTCACTAGAAAACAAATGGGTGGTTCTGCCTGAAATGTTAAGTGCTGTCTGTTCCAATGTTTCCCATGTTAAAAGTTCCAGACTATAGAGCTGGGGAAGGACTGATAAAACAAAATGCAAACTTCTGCTAGAAAAACATTTAATTTTATGTATTTCTCATTCAGCCTGAATTTCCAGTAGATCAGAAACCACAATAAAACAAAGTAGCCTGCATTAGCTGACTGAGTAACTTGAGGGATTATGAATTCTACTTACATCTGTGATCAGTAAGGCTGAAATGTGCTTTAAAGGGGATCAATTCCAGATGGATACATCTGGATGGAACGATATTCAAATGTTTACTCCTACATCCCCTCACTTTTTAGGTTACATAGTAAGTACACTTTCTTTGGTTTTTCAAGACAAGGTTTCTCTGTGTAGCCTTGGCTTCCTAGAACTATGTAGACCAGGTTACCTTGAACTCAGAGATCTGAGGCCCAGATCTCTGCCTCCCAAGCACTGGGACTAAAGGTGTGCGCCACCACCCAGCTCATTTGTAATTGAGGATACTTTCTGTGTTCGAGCATTTTGCCTGCTGAGGCCAGAAGACAGTGCTGGATCCCTTGAAACTGGAGTTCAGACAATTGTAAATCACCAGCCCCCCGGGTTTGGGGGCTGGAACAAGGTCCTCTAGAAGAACAGCAAGTGCTATTAACTGCTGAACCGTACCTCCAGCCTGAGGATATTCATTCTTCAAACATTTAACACGCTATATAAATGATGAAAATGCTTACTGAGGGGAGAACAAGGAAACTCTAAAGGTCAGCTATCCTGGTATGGTTATAAAAGCCAGGAATACAAATAATGCAACAGTTCCCTAAGGGTCAAAGATATGACCCAAACACTTCTCTGTTGTCTACACCGGGACATTGGCGCCATCCTCAGACAGCACAGCCCCAATGGGCAAAGCTGACAGGAAGGATCGCTCTCCTGTGCTCACTGTGTGCTCAGCCTCGTTTTCCTAACCTGTCCAACAGAACTCATACTAACAACAGTACCATGTTTATTAGGATACTAAAAAAGTATAAGTATGAGAAGAATCCAATAACAGTGTAAATGCTAGCTTAGTGGACATCAAACACATTAGTTGTTTGATACTGATTTTCAAGTTATTTGTTCCACTCCAAATTTAAGTCCTTAATAGAAATACACTATTGTCCAACCGATGATTTCCCTTTCTTGTAACAACTCATGTCTCAATTTTTCTTGCTTTTGCATTAACCTTAAATAGTGTTCATCTAAAAACTAAAAAGTTTGAAAACATATCAGATTTAAATTTACTCAACTAGTTACTAAAATAATAAGTTCAGCAAAAGGCCAATGCTGAAACAAAACTTCAAGGCTTTAAATGTTACTTTCACATCCTAGTTTTCCACCCCAAAGATGAACTTGCTACTAAAAAAGTCACCATTCTTATTTAATTCCAATTCTATAACACTGGTTTTTAGAAAACTACAAGAGCCCAAAGAGGTAATAAATTGTCAATATTTCTAAGTGTCTTTAAACTTCTGTTTTCAAAGTTGAAGCTGAAAGTACACTAACTACATTTTACTTCACTCTGTAGTAAGTGAAAAGGTGACACACCTGTGGACAAAAGTCCCTAATGATGAGGACTGGACTCACTGAGGTTCTTCAGCTGTGCCTACTCTAGATCAGACGCATGTGCTGGAAGGTGGGTGTGCTTTCTGCCTATAGCAAAGTTACAGGGAAATGAGAAATTCGGGTTTTTCCTTTTTAAAGGTCACACCGCTGCTACATTTGAAGTTAACTAGTTCCTGAGAATGTGCTGGATTAGCAGTGAGTTTCACTCATGCAACAGATTTCTGACACTGCCATATTACTGAGAGAAGGGAGAAAAACAAAACTGAGGAAAGCTCTAGCTTTTTTATTTTTTAGTTAAATTCAGTATGCACTATAGCAAAAATCCTCAAGATTAAATTTGAGGCTCTACTTAGAGCACCAAGACCACACGAGATTTCTTCAGATTGATCATTTCTGGATCTCTATTTTGTAGGAATGAGTAAGAGAGATTTGCATTTTCCTTGCTATTTTTTGTCATGCTAGTGCCGGATACTTAAGAGATCAAAAACACTACACAAACAAAACAGTGTGCCAACTACATAGCCATAAACAACAGGCGAAGTCTCATGTTCAGAAAATGACTGAAAAATCATCCGTGAGACTTGAAAATGAACTCACCACCCGGATGGAAGGTCCCAAGTCCTAATTGAACAATCCATCGAAGCACTTATTAACCAACGGCCATCGGGACTGAACGTCTTTAACACAAAACAAAAAATATGTAATATGTAATGTATACATATATATTAGTATGTATATATGGATACATTTATATACATAAACACCTAAAGCATATAAAATTTGAAAAGATTTTAAGCTTCATGAAATGATAAATGTGACTATGAAAATTTCAGGCTTTAATATAAATAAAAATATATTTCCTAGACATCACGTCTCTGGGACTTACATAAGTACTAGGTTTTAAAGTAAATTACAAGTTAACAAAATTAAGAACATTATGCCAATTTTTACAGCAATATATATTTACCAAAAGAATTAATAAGCTGTGACTACACATCATTATTGAAAGTAAACTTTTAAAAATTCAAATATTCTGAGACTATGTGGTTAAAGATATTCTGCAGTCTAATTTCAGCTGTAACTTACATATAAATGAAGCCAATGTTGTTTCTCAGACAACTTATCTACTATACTGACACTCTAGGAATGTTATCTAAATCACTATGATTCTGAAGAAAAAGAATAAAAATTCTGTTAAATATGTTAATAAAGAAATTCTAATTTTACTTGTAGCTTTATTTAAAAATCACCTTTTCTCCTTTAATGAAAGTTTTATTTCCAAAATAGTTTAAAGCAACAGTGATCAAAAACATTCTACTTTATCTGTTTCTAACCATGAAGGATGGACAGGGGCTCCTCTTCTATGTAGTGCTGACAGCCTTAGCTTACCAGGGGAAAGACCCAAAAGGAAAACTGTAAGGTTATGGTAGCTACACCACACGGATTCTTTCTTATTAGCAATTGTTACTGCAGTAAATTCAGTGCTACCTTCTTCACAGGCTGCAGCAAGATTACTACAATTCAAACTTCAGGGTACAGAACAGCTCAAGTTAGGGAGGGCGGTGCAGATGGTATAGGATGGGAAAACTGGTTCTCAGGGATAGGCCTGTGTTATATCGTGTGTAAACACCTCTGCGCAGGAGAAACTAGATACCAGTGGAGAAGTAAAAGTTACAAAAGGCAAAAATAGGAAGAGCAAGCTGACAATGACAGATGTTTTTTTAAAATGCTACTTCATCATCACATCCCACTCCCACCCCTAGTTCCTCCAGATACTGACAAAACAAAATCCATTGAAGGCTAATTTTGCCCATCTCCATGTTGTACAATATAATTCCCCGACCAGTTTCTCCTACTGCTAAAGGAAAGGGTAAGGGATTGTGCCAATTCTGACTTATGCATTTACCTCTGATAAGGGACATGGCTGTTAACTACAAACTTTATCATGCAGTAGTTACCATTTTCTTGTTTTTTTTTTTTTCCTCTTTCTGAATAAACAGTGGATCTGCAATTAATACTAAATGATACCATGTACTCAATACAGTCGTCAGTTAACAACTTTTAGGCTTATTTAAATAAAATGACACTTTAAAACCAGATTACACTGTAACAGTATCACACAACCCATTGAAAAACACAGTGCAAACTTCATCATACTTTTATTGAATCCTTTCAGAGTTTAGGTATATAAATTCTACAGTAATACTACATCAGAGCATATCAGCTGTTTCAGACTACTATGAATTCATTATAAATAGAAAAGGAAATAAATTCTCTCAGCTTAATTTAAAATCAAATGAAAAATGATATATTCACACTTAATGGAACATTCACGCTACAAAATAAATTATTTGATATTATTTAAATACAAAAAGTCTAGCATTTATACTTCAACCTGATAGTATTAATCCTTGAAAAGTAATAAACCATCTCCCAAATTTTTCTTAAAATCTCTTTGAAAATTAGCCTGCAAATTATTTTTTTCTGGAAAACCTTTTACGATAAGAATAAGGATATTAAAACAGATTCAATTACTTAAACATCTTTATCCTAAATAGAAGGAGATGAGTTAAGATTATTTTCAAAGCTGTTAGGTTTTACCATGTCATTTATTTGGCCTTGGTGTCCAGAAAACTCTCTGACAATCTTCCTAGTTTCTATGTCCAGGACAGTAATGCTGAAGTCATCCAAGGCAAGCCCCAGAATGCCACTGGGAAGACAAATGCACAAGTTTTAATCAACAAAGAAAAATAATCTTAACCTAAATTTTGTTAGACAAATATATCTTTGAGGAAATTAAACTAAATGCAGTTATTTACTATTTACTTGGTAATCTGCTTTACGTAGGAAATCCAACAAAAAACATCGAAATGGAGATCTTTGTTAGTACAAGGAAAAGTTTACCTGTCCCTGTGTAGCAGCACCATGTTTGGAGATGAATCAAGGCTCAAAGAATGGATTAAAGCCTTGCTTTTAAAGTTCCAGAATTTGAGTAATCGTTCACTGCCAGCTGTAACTGCCAGCTGGTTTAGTCCATCCACCGCGACACCTCTGACAGAGCCTGTGTGGGCTGTTAACACACGGAAAGAGAGATCAAACTGGCAGGATCTGTTCGTGCAATAAATCAAGAGTGACCCCTTTATCTGAACACCTGATGTCCCACTATTGATGAAACCTAAAATCTTGAAATTAAACTGATTTACAAAGTAGGGAGAAAACTCTAGTTATTAGACTATTCAGGCAAAAACAGTTGATGCCATGAAAGATAATTTAGTAAAATAGTTAAAATTTTGTCTAAAGCAAAGAAAAAAATAATAATTTGAATCTACTTTCCCCTAATGTATTCATGACCTTTCCCCTTTGAATATTTCAATATGGTCTTTATATCATACATAACAGATGGACTTGTAGAAACCCTCTAAACCTTATTTTTTAAAAAGGGAAAAAATTCAATACCTTTATCATCTCCAAAACTTCCTCGGTGTATCCCAGATTGCATGTTATACACATCTACATTTCCTGAGGACAGGCCAATTACTGCGAAGTTTCCACAGGAACTTATATCTACCGCCTATAGTCGACAAGGATGGGGGGGATTAAGTTTAAAATCACACAGAATTTAATTACTGCTTTTATCATACATGTTTTCCCAAGTATTTTCAATTTATATCTCATCTTGATTTATTAATTTTATTAAATATAATGTATTATATTACCATATATAATTCTATTCCCAATTTAAGTAAGTGTGAAGAAATTATCTTAGGTGGCCCAGTGTGGTGGAACATGCCTTTAATCCAAGCAAGGGGCAGAGGCTCGCAATCTCTGAGTATGAGGCCAGCCTGGTCTACAGAGTAGGTTCTAGGACATCCAGGGCTACACAACCCTGCCTCAAAAAAACGAATAAATAAATAAATAAACAAACAAATAAATAAATAAAAGAAAACAGCAAAAACAAAAATGAATAAAGAAAATGTTCATAAATATTAGCTGTAATTATCTTTACTACTTGTATGAGAACTGTTATTCAAAATTATTATAGGTAAACTTCCTAAACAAGCTTAAGATTTCTGAGGTTTGAAAATCCATAAAAAAAGCTTAAGATCTGCTTTTCATACAAGAAAATACTGCATGCACACATACATGTAAAGCAGTTTGTACAAAATAGGGTGAAATGCTTCATTATACTATAATAAGCATGTTTAAAAGCAGAGATTCCACTATAGCTCATTAGGATGAACAGTTCATCAAGGTTGCAAGATGGATATGCAAATGCAATTTATATCTTGATATATCAGTAATCAGTACAATTTAAAAGCAATTCCACTTATAATAGCAAACATTTTAAATACAAAATCCCAATTATCATTTCTGTAAAATTCACAGGAGGAAAAGAGCCCAACCAGTCTTCAGACAAGAACAGACTTGGAGGAATCATACTTCCGGTCCTCAAACCTTAAGAAAAGCTAACAGAAGACAAGGCAGTCATGGTTACGAATAGACACAAATAGCCAGGGCCACATGAAAAGATGCTGGATGCCACGAGTCCTACAGAGACAGCATTTCACTTAATAAAAATCTCTACAACATTAAGCCTTGTTTTTTTGTTTGTTTGTTTTTCCATTAGTAGTATTAGTAAATGTGAAACAATATTAGCTAAGGGTGTTTTGTTTTTTGTTTTTTAAGGAGAAATGCCATAATCAACAAGGTCACTTACTGTTGCAGTGATCTCATTCATCTTTAGTCCTTTGGGCTTGAGAAAATAAGCACCTATCGTAGATCTTTGATAATTCCACGTTGAGCAAGACAGCTTCCCTTGATGGCAAGCAATGATACCATCCCAGTCACTCTGCCGAGCTTCCTCTTAAACACAGCAAAATCATGAATCAGAACGCGTACCCTCCCATTCGTTCCCCTCTCAGCTAGGCATCTAACAGCCCACATGCACATATGGTGTCAAGACACAGTAGTAAAGCAAGCAGTTATCTTAAAAAAAAAAAAAGCAACTTCCCAATAATGGATTATGAACAAATAAAAATCATATTATAGTATATTGTTTGACATATCCAACATAAAATGGCTAAATGAAGCTAATACATCGCACTATAGATTCTGGTGAAAAAAATTCATAATAATAATAGAGGATGATGGCATAACAGTGTTTTCTCAGGGGACTTAAGAAAAATTTACTGAGATTTTAGAATAAAAGAGCTCACTGAGAGTGGTAGTAAAACAGAGATTGAGCTGTAAGGCATTTCTTCTCAATTAGTGATAAATGCAGGAGGGCCCAGCCCACAGTGGGTGGTGTCATCCCAGAGCTAGTGTCCTAAGTTTTGTAAGAAAGCTGGCTGAACAAACCATGGGAAACCAGCCAGCAAGCAGCACCCCTCCATGGTCTCTGCATCAGCTCCTGCCTCCAGGTTCCAGCCCTGCTTGAGTTCTGTCCTGACTTTCTCCAATGATGGAATATGATCTTATAGTATAAGCTGAATAAATCCTTTCCTCCCCAACTTGCTTTTTGGTCATAGTGTTTTGCTGCAACAACAGAAACCCTAACTAAGACAGAAGCTGATGACAGAGACTGGGGTATTGCCATGATAGGCCTGACCATGCTTTTGTTTGAAGGAATAGGGACTTTGGAAGTTTGGATTAGAAAAGTAGTGGAACACTCTAAGAACTGCTTAATGGGTCATAATTGTAGAAGCATAGAAAGGAAGTGGTGCTGAGGGAGATTTGAGCTGTGGGGGCCTGGCTCAAGAGGTTCCAGAGAAGAAGAATCTTAATATGTTGCCTAGAGATCATTCTTGTGATGTTTTTGGTGAAGAATGTGACTGCTTTGTGGCCTCATTTGAAGATTCTATCTGAGGCTAAAGTGAAGATATTTAGATTAATTGCATTAGCAAAGAAATCTCAAAAAGGATTAGTATCGACTTTGTTGTATGGTTCCTAAAGTTCACTCATATGAAGAGCATTTTGATGAAAGAGAGCAAGCTCAGCAAGGAAAAATTTAAAAATGTACAGACTGAAAAGGAAAAAAAGTCACCAAAAAGTGGAATGGAGCTAAGTCCTATGTTCAAGGAGATAAACAGATTACAAAATGGAATAAAGGGAATGGTGGCTTCAGGGCAAGATCTCACCCAGCTAAGTTTCCATCTTGTCTAAATGAATTAACATTTCAGGTCCACTGCTGGTGGAACACACCTTTGATTCCAGCACTCAGGAGACAGAGGGATGCACATCTCTGAGTTCAAGGTCAGCCTGGTCTACAGATCAAGATTCAAGTCAATCAACTTTAGGCAATGAAGAAAACCAGACTGATGGTGAAGATGTAATTGAAAGAGAAGGGTATGTTCCAGCCCCAGCAAGCAGCAGAACTTGGCAGCTTCAGCCATGTGGTTCTGGCTTTAGAGTCAAGGATAGAAATAGGGTTATGGAATCTCCCTCCTCAACTGGAAAGCCGCTGAGACCAGGCATGTGGCAGGGCTGTCCCTGCATGGAGGCCCAGAAATGCCTTTGTGTGAAGCTGTAAAGGTGAAGCCTGGAATGCCTTGGACACATCAAGGGGTTGGAGATGCCAGAGCCCTGGGATACCTGCCAAGGAGAGCTGCTACCAGGGAGTGGAGCCAGCAAAAGAGAAAGAAGTGTGCTGTAGGCAACAAAGCTGAAAGGATATTTGAAGAATGTTGTAGAGGAATGTTAATTCAGAATATGGCTATCCTAGCAAGATATCACATCCAAAGACCTTCTAGGCCTGTATAATCTGGCTGGATAATAAACATGCCTTTAATACAGGAGACAGAGGCAAGCAGATCTGAGTTCAAGGCCTCAAGGCCAGGCTAGTATAGAGCAAGTATCAGGTAGAGAAAAGCTTAGGCATAGTGATGCCATTAATCCCAAACAATGAAGGTAAAGTTAGTTTGTAGAAGGAAGCACCTATGTTCGAAAGTGATGTTTAACTGAGTGGCAGAAACAGTGATGAATCAGAAAAAGATTTGACAGAATAGGATATGCCCAACTCTCATGAGAAGAGCAAGCAAAGGAAAGCTACTTAATGGGCAATACAGAGGAAGCAGTTTTACCAGGACAGATATACAGAGACAGGTTGAAGAGAGAACAAGTTAGACATAGATAAAGACAGAATGTCAGAGACTGAGAAGGAGCCAGAAGATTAGAGCAGATTGTTGGAGTTAGTTTGAGGCCAAGAAGAACAATTCAGAGGCCAAGAGAAAAGCCAGACTGAGTAAGTTAGCTGGAAGAGGAGTTTGAATTGAACCAGGCAGCCCAGAGCTCAGAAAGAATAAGAAAAGGTGAGCTTATTAAGCAGGAAGTCTCAGAGACTGAAAATGTTCTGGGCCTTGGTTAGACTGTGGAATCTAGAAGCTTCAAGGACTAGGCCTCCATTAGCAGATGAAGGCAGCAAGCCAACCAGACAACAACAAGAAAAAAAGAGTGAATAAAAGTTACTTTTATAGAATGTTTTGACATCAGACATGGAAATGCAGAGATTAGAGTTTGCCCAGCTGGTTTTCAGTCCTGCTTTGGTCTAGTATTTCCTCATTATGCTCCTGTCCCTATGTTTTGGAACTGTAACATATATCATGTGTCATTGCACATTGGAAGTACGTGATCTGGTTTTTTGTTTTTGTTGTTTTGTTTTTAATTTTATAGGGGATTACAATTAAAACAATGCACAAATGTCAGAAGAGACTTTAAACACTGTTAAGACTAATAAAACTATGGAGACATGCATTTTGTACAATGTTATGGCTACATCGATGGGGACCAGACAGTGCAATGTGTTCGTTTGAACAGGTATGATCCCAGACTCATGTGTTTGATGCTTGGCCATAGGGAGTGGCATTATTAGGAGGTGTGGCCTTACTAGCGGAAGTATGTTACTATAGAGGCTTTGAGGTCTAATATATGCTCAGACTATGCTCAGTGTAACACAGTCTCTTGCTGCCTTGGGGATCAAGATACACAACTCCCAGCTCCTTCCCTAGTACTATGTTTGCCTGTAAGCTGCCACGCTCCCTGCCATGATGATAATGGACTAAGCCTCTGAAACTGTAAGCCAGCCCCAATTAAATGTTTTTCTTTATAAGAGTTGACTTGATCATGGTCTCTCTTCACAACAATGAAACCCTAACTAAGAAAGGGACTACCCTAACTAAGACAGGGACTATAAAACCAAATGGCTGTTACAAGAAAAGGAGATTAACACAAAACAACTTCCTCTAGAGTAACTTTTACAGTGTTCACACAAGATCAGCATTCAGGTGAGGTCACCTTCTGAATATTTTATATACAGAAAATTTTATTAAAATAGAAGATAAAAAGACAAAACAAAAGTGTCAAGTTACTCACCAGCAGCAAACTTTGTAATAGGTGGAAGCCTTACTGACATGGTGTTCTGAAGTCCTTTACGTTTAACTATCTTTTTATTTATTAAACCTGGGGTTGGATGAAAGGGATAATAGGAAAGTTTCATAATGAAAAAGTATGTTAAGGAAAGGGTTTCACTGTTACAGTAAATATATAGAACAAGATAGTCCCAATTAAGAGGCAAAGCAAAGAAGATATTACCAATTCTATTAAATAATTTCTGAGGTCATGAAAATACATTGTATGACATAACAGAAAAGATGAAACACTATTACTTTTCAAGGATACTACAGTCATAGTCGAATGAATAAGAACGAAATAGTGTCAGTCTTAGATTCACTGAGATGGTACAGAACCATAGAGAGAAAACCCAGTTTAGTATCTAACACTGTAGCAGCAATCAGATAAAAATATAATTTAAAAATGTACATGCATATTAGCAAAAACAAAACAAAACTTGTGAAGTGTCACCGAGTAACACTGTAAGTGTGGCAGCAGCGTGAGAATCAAAACTACCTCTGAAAGTCACCATCTCTCAGGTGAGAAGAGCTGTGAAGCGACCACCTCTCTCCTCTTACTCAGAAGGAATTACTTTAGAGATGGGAATGCGAGCACATGGGCAATTGTTTAAATAACATCTCCTCCATACAAGTTTCAAAACATTCTCCAAGAGGAGACATGAATTAATGTTAACTTCCCTCAAGTCCCTCACAAAATGTTTCTTTTCTTTCTTTCTATTTTTTTTTCGTGACCAGCAGCTTGTTTTCTATCTTGCATAGGACTTACCATGCCCCAAACTCTTATTGAATTTTTCATGGACTGTAGAAAATGACTGGAGAGTTCCATCTTGACCTATTGATATGAACAGAAAACCCCCAGTCAGATTTTTTTCAAAACGGTAGAAAATGACTGTCAAAAAAGAGTAGTGTGAAAATTCTGAGTGCTTCTGAGAAAACTCCAAGAAAACAAGACGAGAGTCTTATGACCTCAGTTTTTTTCAAAATACAGAATTTTCTAGGGCTGTTTTTATGTTCCTCCCATGTGTAGCAGACAAGAGTGAGTTTATGTTGAGTGAATACGTTTCTATGAAAAGACATGTTTTGATACATCTGTCTTATCCTTGTGATTAAATACCTTACTCATGTGATTCTATTTCACCTTCAGAGTATAAGTTGCCTAATGCTCTGAATGAAGTTGGCTGTTGCCTGAGACAGTAGTTGACCTCATTTTTAGGCCTCGCTCTCCCATGTTCATACCCCCAACTACAGGATAAACAATGCCAATCCTGGATGTTGGAAAGCTAGGTTCTACGAAAGGCTACAGTTTGTAACACTTCAAAGAACCATTAAAAAAAAAAAAAGGTTGTAAATACCAAACCATTGAATAGTGAGTTTTTAGATCTTAATGTTTAATCAAAATGAATGCTAGAAAGCAGAAACTCACTTGCACTTAAAATTTGCTGTCCATTTTGTCCATAATATCTGATCTTGGTAAGAGAAGCACTATGTCCCATTCTGAATCTCAATAGCCGTCCCTCGCCTGTAGGGCCATCAAATATCCATATCTACAAAGAAATACAACGGTAAGCTGCTTCAATTATGCCATCTGCAGGCAGTAAAGTCACCTTCTGGACACATTAACCAACACTGGGCAGTGTTTGCGATACCACTGTCTCAACGGCGGTTTCAGGAAAAATAAGCTGTAACTCTTCCCCATTCGCTGCAGTCATGTAACCTGCTATGCTTTTGTTCCCTTATCCCACACTCCTCCAGCCCAAAGTCCAAGGCTGATACATTAAAACAAACCATAATAACCCCGGTCCACATGTGCTTCAGAGAGGACAAGAATCATAGTACCCTAAGAGCATTGTCAGCGCCATTTGTAACAAGCAGCGGCTCTCTATGGAGAAACGTCAGCCCAGCTATTGCTGTGGAGTGTGCATTTCTCATTTGATTGATTAGTTTTTTGTCTTCCAGATCCCACAGTCCAATATGGCCACATGGGCTTCCAGCTGCCATTATTGGATGACCATCTGTTAATAAAGTGAAAACATTAACAAAAACATCTCCCTAAGACACTGCACATTTCTATGTGTTCTTGTACTTTAGTATTAATTTCTATTAGTTTAAACAAGAAAATATGTTTTAAAAAAATACCCTTAATTTTAGTGATTAAAGTATTTTTAACTCTTATGATTAAGTTAAGTAAGTTAAAAGTTACCTGTGCGAAATGAAATGGAAGTAATGGGTCCCCAGTCCTGATGGAACTTCATTAATGTTTCGTCAAACTTAATGTTGTGAATGACCACCTGACCAGACAGGAGGCCAACGGCGACAACATCCACAGCCGGTGCCTGAAAATTAAATAGCTCAGCCTTTTATTTTCTTAGACTTCCTGATGATGCACACTACTATGTGCTATCAAAAGAAAGAAAACACCTTCTAAAAGGGAAAAGAAAAAATACCCACTACTATAACTATTCTGGCATTACCAGTTATTAACATTCAAGTATTTAACAATGTGTTTGACAAATTATTCCCAGCTTCAATTTTGCTAGTCAGTCTCTTCGCAACTCTTACGCTGACTTGGTTAAGAAAACAGTTAAACAGAAAAGAGGACTGACCGTGTGTGAAGTCACTACAATTTCTGACTAGAACTGGGAAAGAGCAAATCTTAAAAACATGGAAAGGCTTACCATAAACAGGGAAACATAAGCAACCAACATTATAAAACCAACAACAGCAAACAGGAAAAATCTAGAACATGTTAACATTCTATAATTAGTCCATCCCAATATTGATAGTCAATAATTACAATAGCCTTTAAAATGGCCTAAAAGAGAATGATCTAAGAAGAGAAGGCTGCCCTTATGATTTAACAAACATGACTATCCAGTATCATGCAATGAGTCACGCTACACATTTCATTAACGGGCTGTTAAGTGCCTATTACACCCTAGATTTTAGAAGGTAAAGCTAACAAAATAAACAGGATCCCTGTCCTCCAGAAACTTCCTGGAATCTTCAGGGCAATGGCGGAATGCAAATAAACTGAGCTGGTGCAGGCAGTGCACCAGTAGATGAAGCAGACATTCTGCAGATGTACAGCCATGCACACGCTTGGCTGCCTAAACGTGAAAACAGCAGTTGTTTATGGAAGATTCCACCATCTAATAAACATCAGAATTTGGGTCCCCAAAAATTCAAACAGCAAAGTCCTGTATCCTGATGAATTTCTCTGTATGATCCATAGAATCCCTTCTATCACAAACAGTTATCTCATTTCTGCTCCATATAAGGCACAGGACAAGCTCATGAATGAAATCACTAGAAAATTCCAACCGCATAAGATTACCCTAACCTTTATAGCAAAGACATTTCTTATTTTCAATTAAGTTTCTAGCACATTATTTCTTCAGGGTAACAGTTTAAAGAGAAACAAAGCGAAGTACTAATTTTTTTTAAAATGTAAAACAGTGTTACTCTAGGAAAAGTAAGATTGTCTTCTACTAGCTTTGTTTCTTCTTAAATTAAAAAAATATATACATATATACTAACCTGCTGAAGAGCTGTCACTCCAGCCTTCCACCCTGGAAATGTATACAGAAGTTTACTACAAGAAAGAGATAAAAATGTTAAAAAACAAAAACAAAACCAAAATCAACTATGTATTCACAATAAATAACAGGTTCTGTTTATTATTTTTATTTTTAATCATGGGGTAATATATTCTTTCTTTAAACAGCTGCTTATTTTTTGTTTATGTATATGGGTATTTTGCTTGCATGGTACACCTGCGTACCAGAAGAGCGCATTGGATTCCTCTGAAACTGGAGTTACAGACTGTTGTGTGCGGCCATGTGGGTGCTGGGACTCAAACCCAGGTCGTCTGGAAAAGCAGCCAATGCTCTTAACCCCTTGGGCCATCTCTCTAGCACCCAGGTGCTGGTTATTAAATTCTTGCTTCAGTATGCACTATTTTCAGAACATATATTAATTTACTTAGTATTCAAAATGTAATCACATAAAGTAAATGCTATCAGCAGTCACCATTCTCCAGAAAACAAAACAGAAGTTTAAGGTAACACAGCTAGTGAGCAATGGAGCCCAGATGGATTTTAGACCCCAAGCTGTAACTGCTGGTTCTTAAGAAAAGTAACACTATAAGCAAAAGCCACTTTAGAGTACAATACCAAAAATAAAATGTAGATTTCATTTTTTATTACAAATTGTTTCTAAAAACATTACTGATGGGAGCAGCATTTATATATTACATGAATTATATAGGACAATTCTGATGCTGCCTTGGGTTTCAGACTCAAACAATTAATAAAATAAAGGTCATGAATCAAAGATATTGGAAAACAAAACAATCACCAAAATATCAAATCATACATTCAATTGTACAAATGGGCACAGTTTAGATTACTCAATAATTATGCAATGGATACTTAAAAGTACAACAAATAATGCAAAAGAAAATAACTTCAGAGATAGAAACAGATCTTTGTCAATAACCCTGAACCTATCACAGGGCAGGCAGTCAACAGTGCTAAGTTTAACTGAATACTGCTTGAAAACTATGAACTAGGGTTAACACCAAACCTTCCCGTTGCAAATTTATAAAGGCTTCAGAAAGGACAACTGGGGAGGACTTAAATATTTTATGTGTACATGTGAGTGTCCCATGTATTTATGCGCACCACCACGTGCACGCTTGGTACCTGAGCAAGAGGGCGCCGCATCCCCTGGAACTGTAGTTATAGGCACTTGTGAGCCACCTGATGTGGGTGCTGGGAACCAAACCCAGGTCCTCTGCAAGAGCAGAAAATGCTCTTAACTGTTGAGCCATCTCTCCAGCCCTTGTTTGCTTTTTAAAAGACTACATGAAGGTTGAGCTGCCTTCCCTTCTCTTTGGATAAGTGGTCAAATAACAGGTAAATATATATTTAAAATCATTTAGGCAGTCTTCCATCTCTACTAATAGTTGATAACCATTAAACTGGTGGTGATTCAAGTAATTTCTGTTTAAAAAGTATTTCTACTAGTCGCTGCCCAATTACTTTATGGAAACCTTCACTATAAACGGATTCTTCACACTGTTCAATAGGCATTCATGATGCCACTCATCATGACCAGGACAATATGCCAGCAAAACATATGCTGTCAGGAGCAATATTTCAAAGGTAATATAAGGGAAACAAAATAAAAGGATAATATAAGGGAAACAAAATGAACAGTGAGACTTCACAATCCTTGAGGAAGCAGTATGTACAGATAAAGGGAGAATTAAAAGCATTTAAAATTAAGTGCTTACTTGGATTTTACATTCCATAACTGCAGGCTTCCCTGTTCACTGCCCAGTAGGACTTTATTCAAGTAGGTGCTTGGATGCAAAATTGTAGAAATTTGAAAAACTGACTTATCAAAAGTCAATTGAAGGTATTCTTCTACAAAAGTAAAAGTTGTTAACAACAGTTACTGTTTATGAAATAGTTTTACACACTTTTCATGTACTCAAATCTACTACATACAAGTACCTGCAACACCAGAAACAATATAAATAAGACTTAGATATTAACCTACCGACACTTATCTTAAAAAATTACTTCTTTTGTGTATGTGATGAACACAGATGTACACAGTATGCATGTGGAAGTTAGAAGAGAGCCCACAAGAGTTGGTTCTCTCATTCCACCATGCAGGACTAACACAGACTACTGGGTTTGGCAGCAAATGCCTTTATCTGTTGAGCCATCTCACCTGCCTTTTATCCAACAAAATTTGTTGAGATATCAAATGTGATAGGGCAACTTGTAAGTGTCATTTAGACTACCAAAAATGATCAACAAGTTCTAATGTAAATACTACTACTCAAAATTATCCTGCCAAATCAGTTTATGGAAAGGATTAAAAACGATCCTGGAGGTCAGCATTAGGATTTCTATAATTCAATAGAGAAGCAAGAGAGAATGTTCTAAATGAAACACAAAGTATCTGCAAAGCTCTACAAGCCAATGAAATTAAGAGCAAAGAGGCAAGCCTCATCAAAACTGACAGTAACGATTATGAATTCCCCAGAAGAGCGTTCATACAGAAGAAGGCAAGTTATAACCTTGTGGAGTACGGGAGAGGCACAGCGATAACCACTTGCTGTACAATAAAAAAAAGTCTTAGAAATTGCACTTACAATTTCTCTTTATTTGGTTTTTATTTTAGTTTGTGATTAAAACAATATTTCATTACATTTGCCAAAAATTTAGTATCAAAGAAGGCACAACAGAGAAAGATAAATGAAGGAAAATGTGCACAAACTTTAAAGTGCTTTTTAAGAGAGCCTTGCCTTTTTGTATCAGTAGTTTTACTTAAAGTCACTAAAAATAGCTCCATGAAGAATCTATTTCATTCTGCTGTTTTAACAGCCACACAAAATCTGGGCATTAGTATCAAGAAGGAGCCAGATTCTGAGACCTTATGAACACCTGTCTTCATAGAAAATACTTTCTTTTACATGGAGAAAAAAAAAAAAAAGAGGTTTGCTAATTTCTATGAGGACATAGTGTATCTCTAAAGAAAGTTACTAAAAACACACATGCCTCATTGTTCAACTGAGAGGTAACAGTAACTAAAAATGCAAATAAGTAACTTAACAGATCCAATTGAGGATGGACCCACAGCACCTTACTAAAGACAGCTGGGGATACCGTGGTAGTGGACCTGAAGCTTTGAGAATGGCACCAACTCTTAAACAGTGCTACTGCAAAGGAGTATCAGTTAAGTGGCGCTGACTCACATCCTTTCAAAAAGGATGAATAGTTTCTTTCCGATTATAGGATCATCAAGTTTACAATTATAATTACCTTGACTTAAAGTTGATATTACCCAAGAATGACTTAGGTGTAAATGTGTATCCAAATTCATTCACAGAGAAAACCACATCATTACACATCGCCAACCTTGCAGAGCTACCATGGAGTATGTACTAGCTGAGGTGAGCATATTAGGCATGTTGAAAGTAGCTCACCATCTAAGTAAAACTGCTTATGTAGAAACTTTTTTCCATACATGCTTCAACTCTCTGTGCGTTATTGTGTGTATGCAAAAACTCTGGCATAGAACTTAGGTTTTCATAGATTTTTAAGTACATACGTAAGTATGCATATTATCCCAAGGTAAAGAAATAAAGTCTTACCTTCTGAATATATATGCCAAATAATAAGAGTGCTGTCAGTATCCACTGAGATAACATGATCCCCAAAGGGTTGCAAAAGATGGATTTCTGCCTTATGGCCCTTAAAACTATGTACTATCTGTAATGTCAAAGTTTAAAAGAAATTCATATTACTCGGTCCATCAGGTAATACTATCACATTATCCAGAAAGCATGTTAACAATTAGAAAATGCATGTTAAAGAATTCAGTCCAACTTTTGACTAGCTGAGATTAAATGATGAAATAATAAGGAAGCAGGCCTCTCCGGCTGCTTACCTAGGGTACTCAGTAATGAGTAAGTAGGGAGTCAGAAGACATCAGAAAAGAGCGCTTAGCCTGTGCTGCAGTTACAAAAGTGGCATGCAATACACAGGCCCCTCCCCTAATACTACCAGAGCGAGAGCATGTACCCTAGAGAAATAGTATGTTGCAGAAGACTGGCCTCCACAGAGTCGACCATTAGAGACTTCCACATGATTTGGGAAAAATAATAGACTATTTTTTTCCTTACATCTTTCTGCTTTGACAAAGAAACACTTTACAGTAGCTGGTCCTTCCGTAACTAAATTCCTTTCTCGTCCAGGGCTTCAGTCCCCATTATCATCCAATAATTCTACTCTTTGCTTGGTTCTTTGGCACAGGAAGGAGTCAGTTTCTTCACAGCTGATAGTCCCTGATGTCTCCCTGGCTCTAATTTGCACCACTAACCCCTGAACATACAGTGAATACAGTTCTTCCATTATATTTTCCTCATCTGCACGCATGCGCACACACGCATGTACACACACATGTACATTCTCTGTCTCTTTCTCTCTCATGAAACCTATCTTCCTCTAGAAACTGTCATAATAAAAAAATTAAAGCAGGTTAAATTAAAGCTAAAGTAGTTCCCAATACAAACCTCTTTATTACGGGCAAACGCAGAGAAAACATTTCCATACGCAGCAAAGACTAGCCTCCCATCAGCTGCCATGCAACAGATTTCCTGTGGAACAGAATTACCTAGGGAGAAATATAAAAGAAATGTGCATTGTTAAGACTGTGGAATGACTGGAAACCTTAAATACACATAAAATACCTTCACGACTACAATTCAAAAAATATATATTTAAAAAAATGAGAATCAGCATAAAATTTTGACTTTAATATATTATGGTATGCAGGCATAACAGAATTCTAAAGAAAGAAAAAGGTTTTGAGAAATTGGAAAAAATCAGCACTTTATATACAAATTTCTGGTAGATGGGCATCTAGTAGATACAACTGAACATCTAAGACAACGTAAAGTTCATCAATAACTCCAAAATATTTTAAATAGATCTTAACTCGGACTAATCCTGACAAAGTGTATACAGTATTCTATATGTTGACCCCTAAAATAATCACATACAATATGGTTTCTACTCAGTCTTTTCCAGAGTAAATATGCCTATCACCTCTAGCTACTCTCACATGATTTCCTGTCCTGTTTCTCTTACATGATCATAATACCCTTTATTTCTCATTCCTCTCCTAGGGCTAAAGAGTTTAGCAGACAAATGATAGTCTTAAGTATTTTTTTATCCTGTGTGTTCCATTTTGGGATGTAAATTCCACAACAGTATTTTTTTTTGTAGAAATACCAATTCACTTTTACTCAACTTAGTTTACTCTCTTCTGCTTATTTACTTAAAACAAAACAAAACACACACACATATACAATAAATTAATTCCTTAAGTCTTCCATCTCACAGAATTGTATCTAAAGGTAAAACCAGTCTCTCATGGCTGCCAAATCCTTTAGCCTACTAAACAGCTTTCAGAAAAGTAATCATACTTCTCACTGAAAACAACAAACTGAATTGAGACCCCTTTTTTCTAGAAGAAATTAACACAGTAGTTGGTCCTTCCATAACTAAATCCCTTTCTGCTCCTCGGCTTCAGTCCCCACCAGGATCCAACATCACTACTCTGTGCCTTGCTCCTTTGACCCTAGAGGTAGTCAGTTTCCCCACAACTGAGAGCCTGCAATTTATTCCCCTTACCCTGAACATTCAGTGACTACAGTTCTTCCATTAAATTTACTTCATCTGTACACACACACACTCACACACACCATGCTCGTAACTGATTTAGGCAAATACCATGTGAGTGCTAAAAGAGACATTCGGAAGAATAAAGGGACAATCTGTCTCTACATGCATGTTACAGGGTAAGTAGTTAGAAGAAGGTAATTTTAAAGAGAAGCCTCCTCACAAGTTTAGCTTTACCAAACCATCAAAGCTATCACTAACAGAAGTAAGTCTGTGTCTCTCCACACAGCACTGAGAATTCAGCATTATCTCACTCACTGCTATTTCTGATAAAGTGCCTGAATCCAGACTACTCAAACTGAAAACTATTAAACAACAATAAAAAGCTTATACTTCTGATAAGCATAGGTTCTCATCTGGAGACAAACTTCAGTTGCACAGTATCTGCTTAGTGTGTGCAATGCCCACAGGGGGGAAAAATAAGCCATTAAAAAAGTCATGTAGATCATAAAAACAAGTTCTGATAAACTACAACTAAGTGAAATGACAACTAACAATAAAACATGATCATGTCCTGCCCTTTAAATTTATGACAAAATAAAATCTAAATATAGCAAACATGAACAAATTCACAAGAAAATACACTTACTTACTGCAACCAGACTAAGCTTCTGAACCTGTTTTTAAAACAGAAAAGAAGATTTAAACACATTTTCATTAACAAAATCAATTACAATACCTAAGACCCCCAAATTAGGTCATCACCGCCTACATAAATTTGCTATGATGTCCTTTCCTAAGAAAGATACTCACTGATCCTAACTTTTTAAAATTAATAATGCTTGTGTTTTCACCTGTTTTGCCAGAAGTGATTGATGAGAGGAGAGAGATAAAGAGCTTCTGTAAATGTCCAAGGGTAAATATTTTAGACTTTTTGGGTAACACAGAGTTTGATTGTGGCATGAAAGCAAATACACACAGTAGATGTGCCTGGGTGGACTCCAATAAACTTTATGCATGAACATTAAAATCTCATTTTTACATAGTTTTCATGTCATCATATATTTTTGATCTTCCTCCAACCTTTATAAAAATATGTAAACCACTAGTAACTCCCAGATCACATAATAGTGGGCATGACTAGTTTGTACACTGTAACTCACTGATCTTAGTATGTGGGTAGTAATCCAGCTGTGACATCAGGAATTTTACTTAACTACTGTGTGCCTCAAATTCCACCCTTTTGGCAAAAGAAGGGGGGGGAGATTACAATGCATTTGCATGTTATAGGCACATTCAATGAGATTTTGAGTAAACACCTATAAAACAGAATGAAGACAATGATACAGTAAATGTTCAGTTAACATTAGCTACCCAAAATATGTCCTTTCTAAAAACCCGTCTAATTTTCTTATTTAATAAGCTAATCTGTAGGAAGTCTGACAGCATAATCAACACTAGAAGAGAGAGAAATGGTAGAACCGATTAGCTTACAAATGTCTTGGGCATATCAGTAACCTGAACACAAAAGGTTCATATTTTTACTCTCAAGTTATTTCCACTTTCAGACAATGCATGGTTGGTAGAAATGGCACAGTCGTCAAATAGGTCATACTGTTAAGGAAAGAGTAAACGTAAAAATGCGACCAAAAAGAGACCTTCAATGATTCTTTACCAGTCAACTTCAATACACAGACAAGCAAAGGGAACATTTTTATTAAAATTTCTCCATGAGCTCAATTACTTTTCTAACCACAGGATTTGTTTGGAAGCACAGTAGGGGCAAATGTGTTTATGTCTAAAGAGCACCAGACCAAAGACAATTTCAAGAACTCTTAACTGGGAAACGGAATAGTTACACTTCAGCTAGGAAGCTTCAGCAGGCCCACAGTTGGCTAGCAAGGAGGAAGCATCAATACACTCTCTTTCAGGGTAAATAACCTCGTTGTAACCCACTCTTCTCAACATTCCTAAACCAGGCTTTCAGAAACCCAACAGCTCTTCAGCCACACCTACTCTGGCATTAATTCATCTGCCTCCCAACCTCCAGATGTCCTTATTAAAAATTTACATCTTTTTTGCATTAAAAAAAAAAAAAACCCAGAAAACGACTGCAACAACTAATAGGCTATTAAAAGTAAAACACCGTCACAAGAGGAAAGGCCTTGGCAAGTAACTAATTTTTTCCTAAGGCATACTTCCTTGTATACTCAGGTTGCTGTCAGATAATGAGACCAACCTCGAGTCTCTGCAGTTTCATGGAAGACCTGTGCTATAATGTTCAAAAACGTAGGGAACCGGTATCTATCAAATGTGAACGGGTTCCCTCAATCTTTATCTATTTCTTCCACTGTGATTTGGTCTGAATTTCCTTTTTTTTTTTTTTTTTTTATGGCCAATTATACAGAAAATGCCTAAGGAGTCTTCTTGTGGAAAAAAATAACGAGGAATGGGGTCCTGCTTTATTTGTTTACATCCTTAGGGGTAGGGAAACGTATTGCCAAATGACAGAGATGTTCTCCAATAGTTTTCCCCTGGGCCAGAAGATACCTCCGAAACTCGCCCCCAGGTGGACTGCAAAGGCACAAGGATGCAATGAGGACAGCACAACAGGGAGGGATTACGTAAGGCAGGGTGGCAAAAAGGGAAACCCTAACTAGGTGGGAGGCGAAAGTGGAAGCACACTGGGGCAGCTCTGGTTCCCGGGAAGCGGGTGGAGGAAATCACTCACGTCATACGTGTGGAAGCTCTTGCCCACGCAAGTCGTCACGTAGAAGCGCCGCTTGAGCGCGCTGTACCGCACCACGTGTGGAATGTCGCTGCTGAACAGCCCCAAGGCCCGGAACCCCGCGAACAGCACGCTGGCTGTGCGGCCTTCCACAGCGTTCTCCATCTCCGCCACAGCCGGGGTTCCGCTCAGCTCGCGGCAGGGTGGAAAGCGCTCACGAGGAGCTACAGCACACCTCACGGAAGAGCCGACGCCGGAGCAGGAGATTGAGGACTGCTTCCGGGATCCGGTGCCAGTTGTGCTAGCCCGGACTGCCTTCGGTGTAACACAAAATTGGCTCCCCTCGGAGCCCGCAGGCCAGGTGCAACTTTGGTTCCGCAAGTCCTATTTTTCTAGCTGCCTTTTTCTGGCTTGTTTCTCGGTGGTTTTGGTTTCCTATTGGTAGCCCGGCGGGGTGCTGGAGTCGCAGCTACAAGCGAAGTAAAATACACAATAGCGTGGAAAGGACTTAAATGACTTAAATGGATGAGGGATTATAAAAGAAGTAAAGATAAGAGATCACAGGATATTTGGTAAGAAATTGAACTTAATGCCAGGCGTGGTAGTGAACGCTGTTAATCCCAGCACTCACGAGGCAGAGGCAGAGGCAGGCAGATCTCTGAATTGAAGTCCAGCCTGGCCTACATAGAGAGTTCCAAGACAGCCAAGGCTACATAGACAGACCCTGCCTATAAACAAACAAACAAACAAATAATTGAAGTTAATTTTAATTGTTAGTAATTGCTTTTAAAATTATAAGTGCACACACACTGACATACGTACACATACATGATGTGGCAGCTGTTGTGGGTGACAAAGTCCTGTAATCTCAGCAGCAGCAAGTAAAAGGACGAGCATGGTGTACTGAGGCCAGCCTGGGCTGTAAAGTAGGCTCTACACCAGTTTGAAGTAAGTAGAGACCTGATTGGGAAAACAAAGTGATGTATAAGAATTTACATCTGCGTAATTGGGAATGGGACTAGGTTTAGTTGGAATAAGATTGATAATTGAGCCGGGGTCAGTGGCGCATGCCTGTAAACCCAGTACTCAGGGAGGCAGAGGCAGGCGGCTCTTAGAGTTTGAGGCCAACCTGGTCTACAACTCAAGTCAAGGACCGCCAAGGCTACACAGGAAAACCCTGTCTCAAAAAACCAAATACCAAAAACAAAACAAAAACGATTGATAATTGTTGAAACTATAAAATAATGTAACAATTTATTATATTAACCTTTGTGGTGTCCCACACCTTTCATCATAGCACTCAGGAGGCAGAAGCAAGCAGATCTCTGTGATTTCAAGGCCAGCCTGGCCTACATAGTAGATCCTAGGTCACCCAGGGCTACATGGTGTGACTTGTCTGTCTGTCTCTGTGGTCTCTCTCTGCCTTTCTCTCTTTATCCTTTTCTCTCCCTCCAACCCTCTGTCATTTATTTATATATGTGCGTTGGTATAAGACTGAAATTTTCCAAAAAATATATTTTCTGAAAGGGCCAGATCACTCAGGATGCAGAGGCCCTACAGGCAAGCCTAAATTAATCCCCAGAACCCACAGGGTGGAATGACAGAATCCACTCCAGGAAACTGTCTTATGATCTACACACACATACACATACACACACACACACACACACACACACACACACACACACACACACACACACTGTCAATAGTCCAAAATGGCTTTCCATTTTCTTTTTAATTTTTATTTATTTATTATTTATAAAGTTTTCTTTCTGCACGTGTGCCTGCACACCAGAAGAGGGCACCAGATCTCATTATAGGTGGTTATGAGCCACCATGTGGTTACTGGGAATTGAACTCGGGGCCTATTGGAAGAGTAGATAGTGCTCTTAACCACTGAGCCATCTCTCCAGCCAGGCTTTCCATTTTCTATCTCCTGTTTGCATCAGAGTTACGGAAGTATGTACCATTTACTTTATTTGTGACACACAACTCTTTGATATTAGAGAATGTCACAGGTGTGAAATGACATAGTATCATATTCACGCCCTCATTTCCCTCCTCCCTCCCACAGTGTCTCCCTAACGGCCCCCCTCCCAACTGCATTCTTTTGTTTCATGAATAACCCACTAACACCAGCTAGTGTGTCCCAAGTGCACATGGCCTGGGAGCCAGGCACTGGAGCACAGGAAACCTACTGATGATCTCATCCTCAGAACGCAACGATTCTCCCTCCCATCTCTAACAATGATCCACTGCCAAAAGCTCCCTGGTAAGAGATGGGACCTGGACAGCATCTATCCCATCCATGTTGGGATTCTGGCTGGCTTGATCCTGTGTAGGTTACCGTGGGCTGCTGTGAGTCCATAAGTGTGCTAGCTTGTGTATACAAAAGACAGCATTTCACATCATTCAGTCTCATCCTCTGACTCTTAAATTCTTCCTGCCTCTCCTGTAATGCTCCCTGAGCCTTGGTGAGGAGTGAGGGGTAGATAAAAATGTTACAATTGGGGCTGAGTATCCAGTCAATTATTCTTAGCACCTTCAGCAGCTGTATCTACATTGTTTACTTCCCACTGACAAACAAAAACATCTCTGACCAAAGTTAAAAGCACCCATACATAACTATAAATATATATATATGTATTTTATTTGTTTTGTTTTCTTTTTCTGGAACTCACTCTGTGCTGTAGTCCAGGCTGGCCTGGAGCTCAGAGATCTGCCTGCCTCTGTCTCCCCGAGTGCTAGGATTAAAGGTGTGTGCTACCACTGCCAGACTATAATAGATGTATATTTTCAAACATTTTTTGTGCAGGTCTTGTGTGGCTCCAGACAAAATGCTAGCACTAAGAAGGAGAAGTCAACAAAGTCTCACCCATAACCAACAAGCTTTCTGCAACTGATAACTTCTGGGAAAAGGAAAATCAATCAGATTTCTAGAGTGGAGTATTACTTGTATATCAACCATGCTCCAGGGAAGGCCCTGTACCCAGGAGTAGTTGGCCAGTGAAAAATACACTCCATGCTTTTTTTATCCACTTTTGTTTTGTTTGGGTATATACATATATATGTGTGTGTGTGTGTGTGTCTTATTAGTTTTCCTTTTTGTGTTAGCTCAGTTGTATCTTTTGATTTTCTTTTTTCTTTTGAGAGAGAAAGAGACAAAGGCAGAGGGAGAGACCACACAAACATCCAAAAGCAAAACAAATAAAAAAGTTTTTACTCAGGTGTTAAAAAAGATTATTATTTTTTTATTATTGGAAGCAAAAAATTTCAATATATGATTATTTTTTGGAGGGTTTGAAATTTTTCCTAGTGAGGTCAGTACAGTGCACACAGCCATTTGGTATCCATTTTTAAAAAATATCATCAAACCATGTCAGGAGGTGTTTAAACCGAAAACTATACAACTGTTTCATAAAGGAGAAAAATTGTTTATGGAGCTTAAGTGACTTGCTCACATTTGCAAAATTGTTTAGTGCCAAAATCCAGATCAGCACAAAATTTCAAAAAGAGGAAGAAGGAGAGGGGTCACAGAGGGACAGATGGAGGATGGGAGAGCTAAGAACTCAACAGCTATATTTTCAAGAGAATACACTGGGTCATATGATGGATTTAGAGTCATTAGATAAAGACCTCAAGATTCCCAGATGTTACCGAACTTCACCAGGATTACATAAGCAAAGTTGGTTTAGTAGCTTGGCTTTAGGAAAGTCTGACAGTTGCATTTTCTTTGCGATACTGTGATACTTTCCCTGGGGAAATAGGAACATGCCCGTCTTCCTAGACGGACAGACAAAAGGAACACTTCCACTCAAATCCTGCTTGGTGAACCTATGAGTATTTGGGGATGACTTAAAGAAGCGTGGACAACTCAAAGGCAGCGGTATCACCAAAAGTCCTACCCTAGTGTGGGTAACAGCTCACAAAAGGTGCATCCCCGGTGCTTCTAAATTGCAGTAAGCTACCCCTCTGTATCAGTTCCCAGAAATTATTATTGCTTATGAAACTCTGGGAGAGAAGGCTATTGTGTATCTTGTCACTTTCTTATCTTCGTGGTAAGTTTTCTGATCGCTGAGCAGGGAAACACATTTTAAAAAGAGGAATGGATACAGAAAGTGCGGTACATTTACACAATGGAATACAGTAATTAAATACAGCAATTAAAAGCAAGGAAATCATGAAATTTGCAGGCAAATGGTGGGAACCAGAAAAGAGCATCCTGAGTAAGGTACCCCAGAAGCAGAAAGACACACATGGTATATACTCACTTATAAGTGGATACTAGACATATAATATAGGATAAACATACTAAAATCTGAACATCTAAAGAAGCTAAACAACAAGGAGGACCCTAGGGAAGATGCTTAATCCTCATTCAGAAGGGCAAATAGGGTAGACATCTGAAGTAGGAGAAGACAAGGAGCAGGACAGGAGCCTTCCACAGAGGACCTCTGAAAGACTGTACCCACCAGGATATTAAAAGAGATACTGAGACTCATAGCCAAACTTTGGGCAGAGTGCTGGAACCCTTATGGAAGAAAAGGGAGATAGAAAGACCTAGAGGGGACAAGAACTCCACAAGGAGAACAACAGAGCCAAAACAAAAACCTGGGCCCAGGGGGCCCTGCAGAGACTCCAACCATGCATGGAGAGGACCTAGACCTTCTGTTCAAAGGAAGCCCATTGGCTACTCAGTTTTCAAGTGAGTTCTCTAGTAAGGAGTACAGGGGCTGTCTCTGACATGAACTCAGTGGCCAGCTCTTTGATCACCACCCACTGGGGGTTGCAGCCTTGCCAGGTCACAGAGAAAGATGATGCAGCCAGCCTTGATGAGACCTGATAAGCTAGGGTCAAATAGAAGGGGAGGAGGTCCTCCCCTATCAAGGGACAAGGGAAAGGGCATAGGGGAGAAGAGGGAGGGTGGGTGGGACTGGGAGGAGATGAAGGAGGGGGCTGCAGATGGGATACAAAGTGAATAAATTGTAATAAATAAATATATACATAAAATTAAATTAAAAAATAAAGAATTATTATGGAAAATCTAGCAGCATGGTTACAGTAGAGATGTGTGTTAATGGCTGGGCTGTGTCATTTGAAAGGAATGTTATGGACTAGTTGGGACTTATGCAGTTTTAAGCCAGCCAGAGTTGACCTCTTCCTGAATAACTGCTATACTTCCTATTGCTGTCTGATTAGAGGAAGGAAATTAGGTCCCACCCTTGTCCCTTAGAGATGCCGCTAAAGACATCAGAACCAGGTTCAAACTA